CCAGAGATAAATTCTGGTTCTGTACCATGTAGACGAGTCACCAGACACATGAAGCAGAGCCAGGCATAAGCCACGGAGGCGATGAGAGGGAGAAACTTTCTCCTGTGGGGGTCAGTGATCAGGACAGACTTCTGATCACAGAAGCGAACAGGCAGAGGCACAAGGAAGGAACGAGAAGCTTCCTTTTTACTCTTAGCAGAGCTGTCCCAAGAGTGATGACAATGAAGTGAGAGGATGGTACAGACCAGTTTCACCAGTATGCAAATCAAGTAATGAAACACAAATGACTTAGCAAGAACTTAGTGTGACTCACTGAACATCTGAACTCTGCTGGTTCAGACCAGAGGAGCCAGCTTGAATTCATCCAGAGCTTTCTAAGGAGGTTTTGTTGGGATTCCACAGGACCCCCATTTCAAAGCTAGGACCAAGAAGAAGAGAAATTCATTCATGGAGTGAGTTCTCTGTGCCAGGGACTTTCACACACATCATTTGGTCGTGGTGGTGGCAGTGCAGACATATACCTTTCCATTGTGATCATCCTCATATCTGCAATTAGTAGTTTTAGCAATTGGAAGAAAAATCTTAGTACGAGAAAAGGACTTTAAGGTTATATTCTTTTTTTTCACATAGGGACTTATTTTATTCATGTCTGTGTCTTCCGCAGAGTTTTGAATAGAACAAATGCTCACAATATGTTTTCTGCTTTTTAAATGAACAAATCTTATGAGAAAACAGAAATTCAGAGAAACAGTGTGACTTGTCATACAGCTGATATGTAGCAGAGAAGAGAGTCACATCTAGTTGCTCTGATCATAAGTCAGACACTTCCCACTTTCTGCAGTGTCATACTGTTGGTTAGGAAGTGGATTCTCCTAGCCCAGAGATTTCCCCACAGATGGGGAAGTGAAAACAGATCAGACAGGACCTCGGATTGCTGACCACTATGAGAGATCAGGGTGATTTAGGCTTTCTGGTTTTCTCTCCGGCTCTGCTTACCCCATTTCAAACCACTTTTTCTCTAGGATTTGGCTGAAGCCCCTGCAGGAATTCTGATTCTGGGAAAGTCTCCTTGCTGTTTGATCCAGGACAGGGATGTAACGTCCTTGTGGTCAGGAGGTTTGACTTCCTCTCCTAAACTAGGGGTACCTGTCCCTATGGAGTGGGAATGAATAGAACCTCCTGGCCCAAACAGTGTGTCCAGGCTCAGGTTTCCAAGGGAGCAGGGCACTCCAGAAAGTGCTCACTGATCCTGGTGAGGCCCAAGCTTCTGGCCTGGAGTGGCTCCTGAGCCTGGATTATGAACCAGCAAAATCCAGTTTATTTAGCAGCTAGATTGGTGTGGGATGGAGGGAGTTATCAGGTCCTTTGATCAACCTCAAAACCTGTTGCCTCAGCTTACTTCTCAAATCAGAAGTAGCCGCTGGGTGGAAGGTCATTGTGCAATCTTTTTTTAATAATTTACTCGTTTAGGTGAAATCCGCCAAAGTCATTGAGTAAATCTCATTTACCAATGCAAAAGGGTGACCGATGTGGATTTCTGGAAGAGTGCCTTGAGTGCCTGTCTTATGCCAGGCAGGATCCTGTGTTGTCTCACTTGATTCTGGCAACCCTGAGAAGAAAATACTTTTCTACCTGTTTCACAGATGAGGAGGCTTAGAGAGAAGTTAAGTGACCACACACTTATTAAGTGGCAGAGCCAGGACTGGAATCAGGGCTATCTCACCCCAAAATTCTTTTTACTATTGCTATCCTTTCCTCTGAAGCTCCAGCTACAGACACGAGGATCAGTTCCAAGATCTTGAGACATTTCTCTATTAATGTGATAGTTACTGATGGAAATAGGAGGTGGGGGGGTGGGGGTGAGTGCAAGCTTCTCTCCACAGACTGTAATTCCATATATGACTGCTTTCCCAAAAGATTCTTTCCCCATGGCTCCCTACTCCTTTCTCCTTTATAAGCACTCTCTTCCTGAAGCTATTCTGATGGCCGGTCTCTTCCTCTCCCCTCAAGTTCCTCTCAGATATTTATTTTTTTCTTTCATGAAGCTCCAGCCTTAAGTATCAGAGTCAGTGGAAGGGGAGATGTATGCCTTCTCCGGTTGGGAAACCCACCCTTCCTGTGCCCCACCCTGATTTCCAAAGCCCATGACCTAAAGCCTGCTTGGAAGAGGCAGGAGGAAGTATTGGAGGATTTCAAACAGGCATTTTTCTGAAGACCTGCAGATTTTTCGGTTGAGGGAAATTAGGAAATCTTGAGGCTGCTAGGTCCAAATTTTTAAAAAGTGGTTAGAAAAATAAAATGTTGAGTGAGCATCATATGGCAACAGGCACTCCATCTATGTCATCACCAATCTATACTATAGCCTGTAACAAAGTAGTTGTTACGCTCATTTTAAGTGTGAGAAAACTGAAGCTCAGTGAGGTTTTTCTAATGAAAACCTGTGCTCTTTCTGTTATCTACCCTACCCCATCCATCGACAAGACTTGCTTGAGGGAGATCTGACCGTAGTGGGCATGGAACAAGTGGACGATTCCCTGAATTTGCCTTTGTCCCAAAGACTTGTGTTAGTTGGAGCTACACCAACACCATCCCCAGCTTGACTCCCCAAAGGAAGGGAGCTTTTAATTCATGATTGTAGAATCTGCTGTTGGGTCATTTCAACTAAAATGAGGGGCTAGCCTTTAACCTGCAGAGTATTTTTTACAGTACTGATTGCCTTGCTTAAAACCATTCAGTTTTTTACCATTGCTTACATACAATAACATGTCCCACTTGGGACTCAACAAGTAGATGTTCTCTAAAAATAATAAATAGTATAAGTGATAAAAATAGGAATTGGTATAGAGCATTTACCAGTCTTTTTAAAAAAGGCCCTTAGTACTCCATGGAGTATGGTTTAAGAAAGACTGGCCTACTAATTAAAGGCCAAGTTACTTAGTTAGACATCCAGTGCCCTTCATGAATAGCCCTTGCTTGCCTCTGTAGCCCTGTTTCTCATGAACCCCCACCCCCAGCTCCCCATACACCCTCTTCAGCTTTATCCCCTTAACTCCTAGCAAACACTATTCATCTTTAGGATTCAAGTCAAGTATCTCTTTCACTTAGCAATTGCCCCCCAACTTCTTTCATAGTTCCTGTAAAACCCATAGCACACTTATTTTTGTTTTCATGTATCCCTCTAACTGTATGCTCCATAGAGGAGGAATTATAACTTCCCACTTCTATGTCCTTAGCACCTATCATGGTGCCTGGCTAGCTGACTGGCTGATTAGCTTATCTATTTGTTTGTTTGTTTTGTTTTATTTTACTTTATTCCTCCCTTGTTTGGGCTCCCAGGTTTGGCCTTTTAGGTTATTTTTAGAATAATTTTTTCAAGTTTTTCCCCAAATATTTATAGGATATCTATGGGAGTCTGATTGAATTTACATGTCAATTTATGAGTTTGTAAGTTAAATGTTCTTTAAAATGAATGTTCTTTAAAATGAATGTAAATACAAATTCTAGCTCTCTTTTTAAATTGTCCTTTATGACCCTTACTTTATTAAAACCCTATGGGATTCTTTGTAAGTTAATTACTATTTTACTTAATCACCTTTGCTATTACAATGATTTTACCTCTTTTAGGTCTTTAATTGGTTATTTTTATATATATGAAAAACCATTGATTTTTTTATCACTTGTTTCACAGCCAACAACATCGATGCATTCTCTTTGTTCTTTTTTCATTTGTTAGTCTTAGATTTCTCAGTAATACATTTATATAATTTCATAATAATTATAAAGTTGCTTGCTGTTTCCCAGGCCTGGGTTTTTGAATTTGTTTCCCAGGTAATCGGGGATTCACTGCAAGACACTCTTCCCGCAAGGATAAGAGTGACTGGAATCTTCCACTCTTCTGTCTTCTCAACCCTGGCCTCTGGTGTAGTGGTCTTTCCTGACCACCGAAAGGAAGGTGTCCATTTGTCTCAGGAAGGGCAGAGTCATGCCTTTGCCACTGCCACGGGTCTATCTTTAGGCCACCAGCCCCCTCCCCTCCACTCTCTTCCCCTTTCTCCTGGTCTTTCTGAGCGAGCGCTTTGCTTTGATTTGTACTCGGAAGTTCCCCTTGTCCCGTTGCCTCTTCCCCCTCATTTCCCAAGTTCCCACAGGAACCTGGAAAGTAGGTTGTGCCCAGAGGTTAGAACGGAAACTGCAGCAAGATAACTATGGGGGACAATGCCCAGTTGACGTCATTTCAACTTTTTTGCTCAGGCCAGAGGTGGTTTGTTTTTTTTTTTCTTCCATTTTTCTTCAGGTTACTCTCCCACCCCACCCAGCCCAGTGTCTGTCAACCTCTGTTATGAAAGCTCTCTGGCATTGTTTGTTCGGTTTATGTGTTTCCTTACTTTCCGATTCAAAAGGTACAGTCCCAAGGAATGACTTAGAAACTTGTTCTTTGATAGAGTTGCTTTCTTCTAAAGCAGAAGCATCCATTTGTGACTCATGATAACCTCTCCTATCATCGAATATCTTCTTTCTATGGGCAGTCCTGAGAAACAGGTGGTATAGGGACTGCCTAGCCATAATCTTCAGGAAAACACAAATGCCTTAAATGAGTTTTCATCAGTTGTAAAGAAGAAACCTTTACTAACCCTGGTTACTATTCTTTAATTAGTTTCAACTAAGAAGAAGAGAAAAGGGAACTAACATTTATAAAGTGTCTATAATGTGCCAGACAATGTGCTAAGACCATTCCCATATATTATCTTCCTCAGAACTCTCTAGCTTATCTCTCTAGAAAAGCTCCATTTCTTTTTTATTTTTTGGTACAGGAACTAAGGCTCGAGGTTTAAATAACTGGCTTAAGGTCGTGTCCAAGTCGAATGCTGTTTCTACAATATGCCACACCCAAGGTCCAGATGGTTCCATTTACTGGAAAAGTAGTATATGTCGTCCTGGTGTTATAATGCAGGTGAATGACGAGTCTCTTAGTGTCTGTTTGTTTTATCTCCACCCTCTAGCTGTACCTGCAGGCCCGCTTCACTTGGCGAGGTGCCCGTCTGCTCCGGCCCCTCCTGCAGTTCACCCTGATCATGATGGCCTTTTACACAGGACTGTCCCGCGTATCTGACCACAAGCACCATCCCAGCGACGTCTTGGCAGGATTTGCTCAAGGAGCCCTGGTGGCCTGCTGCATAGTAAGTAGCATCTTGTCCTCAGTATGCAAGCAGAGCCCTGGTCTGCCTGCTTGTTAAATGTTTCCAGCTCAGTGACCAAAGCCAGGGAGCTCTCCATCCTCTTCTTTGCTTGGTATCTGAAGAGTCACTCCACCCCAGGACCTCGTCAGTAAAATGAGAATAATTACTGCTTCTTTCAAGCTCGTGAGTTTTAATCCAGCAGGGTCTGTAAATCCTCTGTTCCTTAAACAATGGCGTGTTTGGGCTCATAGAATGTCGCAATTTGAAGAGGGCTTATATATTGTTCAACTCACCCACTTTATTGATGAGGACATTTAGGGTTTGAGAGGGGAAGCAACTTGCCCCAGGTCACATGTCAAGCCTAAGTCTCTGACTCATAGTGCTCACATGCTGCTTTGGTGGACACTTGCTATTCAGTAGAAATTCTTAGCTTCTTGCAAAACTTCTATCTGTCCCACTGTGACCTTTAGGGTCACTTGGTCAGACTCTAACCTCAATTTTGGCTGGAGAAGAAGGAGTTTGGTGAAGGCTAAGCCTCCTCCAGTCTGAGGGCCTTACCCATCACAGAGCTCCCTAGAGAGAATGGCCTTGGGATGGGTCACATTCTGATTTGCCCCAAAGGTGAAGGGGTTACCCTTTTCACATACTTCATGCCTGATCTCAGTTGGGTGGGATAAAGTATTCCACCTCTCTGAACCTCCATCTCCTCAGGAATCTCTGCTTTTTCTGCATGCTAGAGGTTTTGAGGGGCTTATTCAGCAAATATGCCTGAGTATTTATGCTTTCTTGGGCCCTACTCGGGGGAGCTCACCCCATTCTATCAGGAATCTCATAATACAGTAATGGCTGGATGTTTAAGCACCCCACATGTAGGTTGCATGTTAGTGTAACCCTTGCTCATTCACACTAAGAATTATGAACAATAGAGATATAAACCAGCCCCTATCCTTTCCTGATTTCTAAGCCTGGGTACAGCCCCACATCTCTATACAGCAACCTCTCCTATTCCTCTAGGATAGCATTTATCTATGTTGAAATTGTTAATGTGCGTTTCCCTTTAGAATGTGGGTTTTTGGAGTCAGGGACCGTATGTAACATATATGTTATTCTCCCTCTTACCACCAAGGCCTCTGAGGGGTCCTAGCTCAGCGTAAGTAAATCCATGCTTAATTGGCAAAATGCTAGAGTCAATGAATTGATCTACCCTTTCTTGAGAACACTGTAAGGGACATTCTCTTGAACACAGAGGGATGAATAAAGTACAGCCCTTCCTTCCAAGGAGATCCCAATCTAGTTGCTCTCATAGCCAGGCCAAGCACAGGAGTTACAAAGTGGGGCTATAACTGAGACACAGACAGGGTGTTTCAGCAGGCAGGCGACAGCCTGACTCAGTGTGCAGTGGGCAAGGAGAAAGACAGGGAGTTGGGGCAATCAGACTGGGTACCACGAAGAATGTAGCATCTGAGCTGCTTTCCAACCTGGTGTGGGAATCCTAAACTGAGGAACTGACTGTATTGATGGCTTTATTCATTGTCCCCGCCCCTCCCCTCTTTCAGTCAAGGCCAGTAGGGAGAGAAATTGGTGGAGCAAGCTGTTAATGAGAGCAGCTGTCACTGACATGCTTGTTCTCTGATGCTTGGCCCTTTAATGTGAAGTGACAGTGGGGGATGGGTGTATGCACTAAAGGGTAACCCTTTGCTGACTGTGCCCTTCTCTGCAGGAGGAGCCCCACAGGGCCTGCTGTTGTGTTTCTTCATTGGCACCACTGCCCTAATTAGAGTCACCTGCACCCCCAATTTAAAAAAGTTAAAAGATGGGAGCATCTATCATAGCCTTCCTCTCTTTTCTATCCCGAGCACTGGCTGAGCACAATTAGAATAAATGTCCAGGATGACCAGGGTTTATTTTCGAGAAGGGAAATGAAGAGTCTGACTTTTTATCCTGTTTGGCCACTATAGCACAGGATAGGAATTTAGTCTTAGCATTTGTAAAGCTCCTACTCTGTGTTGGCACTGTTCTAGATCCTTTTCCCATTGTCTCCTTTTAGGCCCATGAAGCCATTTTACAGATAATATAACTGAGACTCAAAGAGATGACTCAAGTCATCCAAGGTCAGAGCTAATTGACACCTGCTCTCAGATGCTCACTGACTCCAAAGCTTTGCCTTCTGCACTTGGCAAGGAAGGATGATCACTGGCTCTGAGGTCAGCCAGAGTTAACCTGAGGCATTAGCAGCATAGACAGCTGATTAAAGAACATAATTTAAAGGTGTCACAAGGGCCTTCCCAACCCTATGAACTAGTATAGTCATTCATTGCCTTGAGTTTGAAAGCCTGTTTTACAGGGTAAAGGTGGTTTGGAAAGGGGTGATAAATATCTTCCCTTGTCTTTTGTCCGTTTAGCTGCAAATCCATGAGGGCAGGGACTCAATCTTATTTATTATTTGTTTCCGAATGCCTAACACCCAACCTGATACTCAGGAACTTGTGGTCCTGAGTGGCTTGGAATCACGGCTCTGAGTGATCCACTTCATTTAAGCCATTTGAGAAGCCAGGGCAAGGAACTGTGGCTAGTCAGCGTAGGAGCTTTCGAATGCTCAGCTTGAGAAAAAGAAGGCAGGGGTTCTTTCCCATTGTAAGATCTGCGGTAGCGGTTTTGCTTGTGAGGAAAACAGAGAAAGCTCGAGACCCTAGAAATGGGACTGGGGGACTAAGAGGCCATCTGAGGACACCACATGCTCAGGAGAGGGACATGCGAAGAGGATAAAGGGTGTCTGCCTCACAGGTTTTACAGCTTTATCAGATGCTTTCTTGGAGTTGTTCAGCATAGCTCTCACAGCCTAGGCAGGAACCTGTGGCTCTGCTCTGCTGAGTCTTATTGACTGTCCAGGTAAAACCCAGGAAAAGCCAAGTTCTTTTATCATCCATAACTATGGCTATACTGAATAGATCTTGAAACACAGTGGTTGGCTAGGAGGACCAAGAAAGAGACAGTGCAGTACGGTACAAGGTCATGGCACGGAGTGCCAAGAACCCAGAGTCCATTTCCCAATCTGCCAATGAACTCCCATTAACTTAACAGAGAAATAGTATTTGTAATGTGTATTGAGAGTTCAGGGTGCCAGCCACTACGTTAAGCACTTTACACAGATCATCTTCTTCAGTCCCCGCCAAATCCTATATTGAATCCTATATCCATTATTGTCCTCACTGAAGAGACTAAGAAGGATTAAGTTCCCAGATGGGAGAGGGGTTAGGGGTGCTGAATGAAAAAGGTGAAGGGATTAAGAAGTACCAATTGGCAGTTACAAAATAGTCATGGGGATGTGAAATAAAGCATAGGGAATATAGTTAATAATATTGTAAGAACTATGTATGGTGCAAGGTGGGTACTAGACTTATCAGGGGGATCGCTTTGTAAATTATATGATATCTAACCACTATGCTGTACACCTGAAATTAATGTAACATAATATTGAATGTCAGCTGTAATTAAAAAATTAAAAATATATACATATATACACAAGAAAAAAAAAATAAGGGTTAAGTTACAGGGAAAGAAGATGGAGAAGCCAGGAAGTGGTTGGACACATGCCCTCTCTGCCAGACGCAGCCTTCTTTAAGGGCCCCATCTCCTGCTCCTCTCCAGGGACATCAAACTTGTCACTATTTTCTGACACACTGAGCTCTTACTTTACATAGCTGTCCCCATTGATGGAGCATGGTTCCAGATTCACCCCAGCTCTGATCCAGCTTTCTATGTTAGTTTCTCGTGTTGCTGCTGTAACAAATGACCACAAACTTAACGGCGTAAAACAATACGAATTCATTTTCTTATAGTTTTTGACTTGGGAATTCAAAAAGGGGTCTCACTGGGCTAAAGTCAAGGTGTTGGCAGGGCTGCGTTCCTTCTGGAGGCACTAGAGAGAATATGTTTTCTTGACTTTTGTGACCTCTAGAGGCTGCCTATATTCTTTGGCTTGTGGCTCCTTCCTCCATCTTCAAAACTAGCAGCATAGCATCTTCAAATCTTTCCTTTCCTCTCTCTGGCCTTTGTTTACATTGCCATGTCTCCTTCTGTGACTGACTTTCTTGCTTCTCTCTTATGAAGACCTGTGTAATTACCTTGCATAATCTCTCCATCTTAAGATCTTTAACTTAGTGACCCCTGCAAAGTCTATTTTGCTATGTAAGGTTACATATTTATAGGTTCTGGGGATTAGGACAGGGACATCTTTGGGGGACTTTGTTTAGTCTACCATACTTTCCCTGTCTTCCCTGAAGGCAGAATTGTCTAACTTCATTCTGGTGCTCCCATGGCCCTTTGCATGTTTTTCCTGCTATGGTATTTATCTTGGTTCTGTCATAACTGTCTGTTCATATGTCTGTCTCCCCAGCTAGATATGTGGTGCCTTAATAGTAGAATCTGTGGCTTAACTTTCTGGTTACTCATTCTCAGCACCTAGTACAGTAGCTGACACAATTAGCTTGTGACCTCAAGCAAGACACTTCCCTTCTGAGCCAAGTTTCATTGACTGAATTTGATCTTGGAAGCCCTGATCTTGGAGCTCCGTGGCCTTCTGCCAGAGATTCTATAGCACAACTGACTTTGTAATAACTGAGCTGGACTTGTCTTCTGATATGGAACCATTTTCCTATCATGCTCATGAAGGTGGCCTCTATTAGGAGTTCATGACACGTCTTTAAGCTCCCGTAGTGCATCATCCTAGAATGTTGGCTTAGTCACCACAGAGTCTTAGGCATCAGGCCAAGACAGCCAAGCACTTTTACCTGGGTCTGTTGAGAGTAAATCCTGTCACAGCAAGCAGACATGTCTAGACAAACATCACATGCCAAATAGAAGCAGGTTTGGTTTCCTCCCCACGACGGCTAACTAGTTAAACCCTTTTCAGAGAAGGAAGACAATGGCACCCAACACAGACCTAAAACCTACACAGCATCATGGACTCAATATGAATATATATATGGGCACATAGGATC